TTTTTTTTTTTTTTTTTTTTTTGGTACTAAGGATCAAACGTAGGTCCTTGCACTTGCAGGTGGCAGAATCGCTGAGCTAAATCCCCAGCTGGGAGACTTAATTTTTAGTGGTAAGCATTCTGATAGTTTATAGATGCCCAACATGGGTCCACTACTTTTATTGCGTTTTTCTTCCTGAGATCTTGTTGTCCATCCTAGCCAATTATTTCTCTTTCCTTTGTGTATGAGAAGCAAAGAATGAAGAGAAGAAACTCAAAACCTTTTGAATCCCAAAAACCCCAGTTCACACCCTCTGCAGCAGTAACCATTTACTGCATCTGCTGCCTATTGTTTTAACCTGCAGCCCTTGCCACTGACTCATTAGCCACCAACAACCGAAGGTCAAGTGCCTTCTCGCAGCACAAAGTAACACTGGGTATCCAGATCAGAAGAGACTTGCCTAATACAAGAAGGCAGGCTTGGAAAGAATTTATGACTTCGAGGGTTCTATCAGGAAAACAGGACCAGAAAAAAGGAGGTCAGTGGTGCTTTCCTGTCTTCTTTGAGACCCTTCCTATGATCACCAGAACTTTCAAAAAATTACTACCAAGGTAGTTGTAGATCTAATTGATGTTTATTCACAATTCATGGAATCAGGGCAGCTCATTTCTATAAACTAGAATGCATGCTCTCACTGAGCAACATAGAAAGTGGATTTTTTGAAGTGGGAACAAGGAAACAAAACAGTAGGGAAAAGCTGATTGGTTTATGCCCTAGTCCAATTGTGGTGAACCTGCGGCACATGTGCTACAGCAGGCTGTTATGTTATCTATCATTGAAAGCTCTAAAAGGTTCATCATTGCTGACCTAGTCTATTTTCCATTGCTGCAGCAGAATACCTGAGACTGGATAACTAATAAAAGTAGTCTGCTTAGCTCACAGTTCTGGAGGCTAAAAGTCTGTGATCAGTTGGCAGCATTGGATTGGCTTCTGGTGAGAACATCCTGCTCCATGCACGATGGAAAAGCAGACAAACAAGTGATTGCAAAGAGAGAACATGGGGAGCAACCTTGTTTTCTAATGGCCAACCCTCATTGTAATTTGTCTGGTCCTGTGAGTACTCACTTCTATAAAACACCATTCATCTCTTAATGGAGCTCCACCCCCATGATCCAGACATCTCCCACTAACCTCCACCTTCAAACCCTGCTGCCTTGAAGAATTAAGTCTAACATGAATTTTTCTGGGGACAAACCATATTCAAGCCATAGCAGTTAACTTCAGGTTAGTATTTTTGTGAGGGTCAAAACAGGGGGGGCTTCCTTGTTATGCTGATTCAGGTAGGCTGGTTTGTTAGTCCATTTTTCATTGCTGTAATAAAATACCTGAGGCTAAGTAACTTTTAAAAAGGATATTTAGATAGTTTAAAATTCTCAAGGTGCAATAGCATGGCTTCAGCTTCTGCTTAGTTCTGGTAAGGCCTCATGGGGGTACAGTATCACAATGGAGGGAAAGCATGCAGAAAAGGTCACATGAGGAGACAGGAAGCCACAAAGAAAGCTGCAAGGGGTCGGTCTTCCTCTTTTATAACAACTTGTGCTAGTAGGGGATCCCCTGAAAACTATGTAATCCCTCCCCAGGGCAGTGCTCCCAGTGACATCCTGCTAGGCCCCACCTTCTGATACCACCACACTGGGAACCACATAAACCCTTTGGGGGCACAAACTACAACTGGAATCTCGTGTTTTCAGGAAACACTGGTCTGTTTGGGAATCTTCGCTGATATTTTGTTGGGACAAAATACCCAACACACAATTTAAGGAAAGAGAGGTTTATTTTGGCTCACATATTAGAAGTTTTGTTCCCCATGTGGTCGGCAAACTTCAAGGTGGCTGGCATGACAGAGGTGTATGGCAGAGGAGAGCTGCTTACTGCATGGTGGCTGTGGAGCAGAGAGAGTCAAGGAGCCAGGAAAGAAGCTGTAACTTCTGGGTCATGCCACCAGTGACCCACCTCTTCTGACAAGATCCTGCCTCCTACTAGCAGATTAGCTGTGATGCCCCCATAAATCAGTCACCTTTCAAAGGCCCCACCTATGAGTGCACAAGGCTCTTGGATAAAAATCATAACAATGTCCTTAAAGTTTCAGTTTGATTATGTGGCATGTAGCACGCGTGACTCCGTTCTGATTTGGCCTGGTCTTTGGGGCCCTTGTGCAGGAGCTCAGTCTGAAAGAGTGCCTCCCACAACTTTTGTTTAACGAGAGTGAGGGAACAGGATTCTGAAGGAGCTAAATGCTTGAGTGGGCTGAAAGGCACGGGAGTCCTGTCTGCACTATCACTGGGTTTAGGCTTTGTGCCCTCTGGGTTATTTCAGCAGTGTCCCAGACTGTTTCTCTTCCTAAATTTTCTCTTAGTGAATTCATCTTCCTTTTGGTGATTCAGAGTAGAATCCTCATGCTTAATGTGCTCATCTTCTGCCTGCCCCTGCTTAATCCTGTGTCACAGGCCAGTGAGTCTCACCTGGCAGCTTGCAGATTGGAAACCTCTTGATTACCAGTGTGGCTTGTGCTACTGTCACCGGCATCAGTTAGCTCTTCTCCAAATCTACGCATAGTTTCTTAAGTGTATTCTCTCCCTTACTGGTACATCTATCTATCCATCACAGCAAGAATGTTCTTCCTGGGGTACAGTATTGCTCATGTTGGTCTCGTGCTAAAAATAAAACCATATTTTGTAGATCAGCACTGAAAAATCTCTGCCTTTTTTACCTGAACTACTTTCCCTTCACTCAGCCTGCTATTCTGAAGTACTTCCTTGAGGACAAACCATTGGGCAAGTATTGCTGCCCTGAAGTGTGTTTCCTAAATATGGCTGAACCCTTTGGCCTCCTTGCCTCCTCTCAATGCTGTCTCTCCTGCTCTTAAATCTTCCACTTTCCAGGTGCTCTTTATGCTAACAAATGGCGCTGACCGCCTCATGCATGGTGAACCCGCAAGGATGTTGGTGCTTCTGTTGCTTCACTTGGTCATTTCTTCATAAGTTCCATGACCCCAAGTTTTACTCTTTACCACTTATCTGTACCACCACTGCCCCACCACTCTTCCTTCTTAGGAATTGATACAAGAGTAACTTACTCAATGAGCAGATTACTTCATTTCTTGACTGGTTGTGTAGTGGTGGGGGTCCTGATGTATAAATAGACAAAGCCCAAAAGTGGCTCCACTAGGCTTACTTGATGAGGGAGAGAGGGCTGGCTCCTAGGGAGAGTCAGCGCTTCCCTTCCTCTTCCACCTAGCATTTACTCATTTGCTCACAGTCATTGGAGTCCTCTTTTTTGTGGTTGTGGGGATGGGGAACACTAGTGTGTGTGAATTTATTTGTTTTCCCTTTCTAAAACCAGAGGTTCCTTTTCAGAAATTTTGCTTCCAGTCACATTCTGGAACAAATAAAAAACTCTCTAAAGACTGTAATCAGAGAAAAAGAATTATGCATTAGAATATTGAGTGTTCTGTTTACTCTCTGCTCCCTATCTGTAGCTTCAGGGAGTTAGCATCAATAAGAGGTGGAATTAAAGATCTTTGCAAAATTGTCTTATGATGATTTTGGCTTTCATCCTATGACTGGAATCTAGACTAGATTTTAAGGCTCTTTAACTTGTACCTAACTAAGCTTGTAAGTATGATGCTGGCTGTTGGCTGAAGGAAAACAGTCGCACAGTTGTTTGAAAAGATGGAATTGGAAATTATACTCTTTCATAGTTTATGAATTCTGGTACTGGCAAATTATAAAATAGATATTTTATAAGAAAGGAGGAGTGGGATGACCATCTGATTTAAGAACTTTCCTGTTAGCTGTTGCAAGAACATTATATCTGCTTGGCCTTTCAGTCGGCATTATGCCATTCTTGCTACCAGCTGTGAATTGTAATGAACTGTTTTGGAACATAAGGCATATTGTAGTTAGGAATGTGGAATATGGATTTGAGAATTTAAAACAACTCTGGATTTTTAGTAAAACCTAGAGTGCACGTAAAAGATAAATGCCTTATACTTTGAGTGGGGCAACAATCCTTTCATAAAGAAACTTACCTCCTTAAAACTACTTTTTATAGTATTGATTTTGAGAAAAAAATATATATAATAATTACAGAGTGATAGGGAAACCCTGAAAACAACTTGCCTTGGCTTATCACAGAATGTTTCTTTTATGATTGATGATCTGTTTTCCTCTGCTGTACGTTTCCCCAAGAAACTCTGTGTGTCAGCATCTTTAATTGACATTGACAAAATAAACAAGATTCCTGGAGGCGAGGTCATTTTGTGACAGGATGTGTTGTGGATCTCAATTCTTTGATACATGCTTTTCCCTTTTATTTGCTATTGAAAGAGGAAATAACTACATGAGTTCTGGTGATTTTAATTAAAATCTTAAAATCTATTACTTAGCATTTATCAGTGGAGGAAAATTGCATTAAGTGTTTTTATAAAATTATATGAAATGATTCACAGCTGGCATTAAAATGTTTTCTGTTTTCTTATAATGTTTTAATAATTCAAATTTTGGTAGAATTTTTGAGTCATTTATAGGTAATAACAAATGAGAATATTTGCCTTAGGCCAATTGTATTGGTAATTTCAACAAAGCATAATTGATATATGAGTATTCAAAACTACCACTCTGAGCATTTTAAAGTACATAAATTTTTGTTATAACCTAATAGCAGCTTCCACTGGGAATACATTATTTTACATTTGCATTTTCTTTTTTTCCCCCTACAGGAAGGAGCTTGAAGCCTTCAAAGGTAATTTTGTGTTTAATTTTTCACTTTCAAGTAGTTGAGAGTTAATTGATGTCAGATGTTCTCTCTTGATGATGATGAAAAGAGAAATCATTCCTTTTCTTTAAATCAAACAGTTTACATCAAAAAGTAGAAGTTTATTTAATATTATTTTTGTAGGTTTTATTTAACCATGAGTGTTTTTTGATATTCTCTTTTAACTGACACACAATAAGTGAAGAATTTTTGCTAATGACCATTGTAAGTAGTATATTGGGAAGACATGGTGCCAACGTTGAGGTTGTTGAGAATCACTTGAGGAAGATTGCACTTGTGTTGTGCAGAGTCTGGGTCAGCTGGGGAGGGGATGGTGATAAAGGTCAATGTGTGCCCTGCAGTGGGTCCCGGAGGCCTGGTGCCTCCTGAGAGGTTCCTGTGCTGGATATTGCTATGACGTTATTTTGTGACTTTAGTTTATGTGTGTCATCACTACTCAGCCTTTTGGCTGAGATCAAGTGTAGTTTGTGTGTTTTGTTTGTTTGATTTTTCTTTTTTTTTTTTTTTTTTTTTTTTTTTTTTTTTTTTTTTTTTTTTTTTTTTTTTTTTTTTTTTTTTTTTTTTTTTTTTTTTTTTTTTTGAGACAGAGTCTTGCTATAGAGTCAAGGTTGACCTTGAACTCACTATGTAGCCCAGACTGGCCTTGAATGCACAGTAATTGTCTTGCCTCAGCCTCCTGAGTTCTGGGATCACAGGCATGCACCAACAAACCCATCCTGCCTTGTGACTTTGATGAATCTTTTACCTTTTCAAGCTCATTTTCTCCATCTGAAACAATGGAGAATCTAATTAAATATATTCTGAAATTGGAATGTTTTTTAATTTTAGGGAGCCACAAGAGAATAATTCTTGGTCATTGTGATCCTTATTGGTCTTGAAGAAACACTAGTGAAAAGTAGAAAAACCACAAACTTTCCAGCACTTCTGAAATATCTCCAGTTTGGTGTTTTTTAATTATTTATTAGCAGTTAAGTATTAGAAAGCAGTGTTCTTAGATTTGTTCTAACAACCAAGAAGACTTTCATTATTAAGTTACTTCTGACTTGTTAAAGTCTCTTCTGATTTGTTTCATGCTTATTATATTTCACATAAACTATCATTGACCTTTAGAGTTACTGAATGATTAAAGATTTTCCAGTATATCATTTTATCTTAGTTTTGTATTACCACGACAAAATACCCAGCACCCAAAGTTAAAGAAGGAAAGGTTTATTTAGCTCTCAGTTTGTAGAGGTTTCAGTCCATAATCAGCTGGCTCCAAGCCACAGTGGCACATGGCAGACAGCCCTCACAGAGGAGAAATAGTTCACGATGGGCAGAAGGTAGCCGTGCAAGCAAGCAAGGGATGGCCACAGCTCTTTCTATCCCTTATATCTTATCCAGGCTACTTAGGGGAGGTAGCAGTCACACCCTTGATCCTAATGTCCTTGATTCTAGCATTGCACTATGAATCAATTCCAGTGTCATACACTCTCTATTAGCCACCTGTGAAAAAGCCCCACCTATGATTGATTGTATGAGGCCTTAGGCCTTAGGGAGACATCTAGACATAAGCCATAACACATTTCTAGTTGAATTGTCCATGTGCCTGATCTGTTTGGATGTTTTAGAAAAAAATGACTAAATGGATATAAAGGTTTATTCCTATGATGGCTGTAATTGAACAGGTTTGTTTTGGTTGGATTTCAGTTTGACTCACTGCAGCCCTAGTAAATGATTAAGCTCATGACCATTTTGTTGAGGGTTATGTTGTAATAAAATGTATTATCATGGCTATCAGTGTTCATATTCAGTTTGTGAATCTGTTCATGGACATTATTTTTCATTAATGAAAGATTTGAAATCCTTGTAAAATGCACTTTTTCTTCTTGTTCTTTCTTTTGGTTGACTAGTGTCTTATATTAAGAGATAGAAAAAAAACAAGTTAATATTAAAAAATAGGCAGGGCATCTCAGTGATGAGGAATTCTTTTTTTAGTATGATGATTCACAGACCAGCAGTTTGCCAAAGGTTAGATAATGTTGCATATTACTTGATAGAATAATTCAATTTAGGCTGAAATACCTTGTTTATATACACATCCCTAATTATGTACAACATTTAACAGCACATCAGATCCATCCATAGGCCAATTTAAGCTCTTGGATTTGAGCAAAACCTAAATTGAATCACTGGGCATGGTGGCATGTGCCTATAATATCAGCACTCCAGAGGCTGAGGCAGCAGAATTGCCACAAGTTCAAGGCCAGCCTGGGCTGCATAGTGAGTTCACGGCCAGCCAGAGACCTGTCTCAAAAAAACTTACCCTAAATTGAGTATTGTATCATATCAGATTTTCGGTATCAGTGTTCATTAAAAGTTGTTTCTTCCTAACTCCAGGTGCAGTGCCATGTGCCTGAATCCCAGCTACTTGGGAACTGAGGCAGGAGGATCACTTGAGCCAGGAGTTCTGTGCTGGCCTAGGCAATGTGACAAGACTCTATCTCAAAAAAAGAAAAAAATTTGCTCACAAGCATTTTGCTAATATTTCAAAGCATAAGTAACCCTATAACAAAATTATAAGTTTAATTGCTTCTACAAAGTATTAATGGAAAAAATTTAAAAATTAATTCAAACATACTATAACAATTTTTGTTCTTACTGTTGCACTATTGGGAATTGAATTCAGAGCCTTCACAATGAACATATCCTCAGTTTCTTTTTTATTTTTGATGCACAGGTATTGATTGAGAGGGTAGGGACGGGGGTCTCGCTGTGTAGTTCAGGCTGGCTTTGAACTCACATTAGAGCCTAGGCTGGACTTGATCTTCCGGTGATCCTCCTGCCTCAGCTCTGGGAAGTCAACTCTTATGGGAGAAGTTTACGGGTAGGGAAGATTCTTTTTGGGTACCCACATAAGGGAAAGATAGCCTGAATTTTCAGGGCTGGTGTGACATAATAATGCCAAGATATGCTTTGGTTAACCCCAGGTTGAGGTGAGGAGAGTGTGTATGGTGGCCAAGCAGAGAGGGTATTCCTGGGTGTCATGACGTGATTGGCCATCATACTCAGATTGACTGGACTGGCAAAATAAAGGGCGGCACGTTCTGTGATCAAGATGGATCCTGTAGTCTAAAAGGGAACTTCACTTTGAGATCTTGTAAGTGAAGTAGTTCCCATGCGTGGTGAGAACTACACATGAGTAAAAGTAGAAATCATCCCATTAAAAAGGTTGCCTGAGTCCGAGAGTTGGGAGGAGACTGTGCTAGGACTTTCACTTGTTTGGATTACATTTCATGTGTGGATTATGTGTGTTTCTGGCTTAGCAGCCTTTAGCATTTAACAAATAAAGTTGATGATAATGGTTGTTAAATGGGTAGATTTAGTTGGTTTAGTTCAGGGATTAGTTTAAGATGTAAGGCAAAACTATGTGGTCTCCATATGGTAATATTGAAGTGGTAAGAGGCTCTGGTTGGATATCCTAACTGTCATCTGGCACCAAGGAGCTCAAGGACGGTGGCAGTGCTTGTAAGACAGAAAGGGAAATATACAACTTTAGTATAAGCAAGGGTCAATAGAAATAAGTGCCTTAAAGTGAGAGTAATCAACTGGAGAGAGGCAGAGACACCTGACCTGAATGATGAGCACTCGGGGCTGAAAAGGGTGAGAGCATTCCAGAAGGAGGGAGGGACAATTTAAAAATTGCAGAAGTATTTATTTTATTTCAAATTTTTAAGTCAAAATTTTATTTCTTGTTCACTGAAGGAACTACAGATAATTTGTCATAGTTGAAGCATATGGTATGTGGGATGAGGTGATGAGGGCTGAAGTTGGACCCATAGGGCAGGGAACAGCCTTGTGTGTCATGCTAGGGAGTTTGGGCTTTTCCCTCTGGACTCCGCACAGGGTGTGGTATGCAAGGCAATAGGAGTGGAGAAGAAAATGAGAGTCAGCCCCCGCTTCTCTCTCTTCCTCTCCCCTCTCTCTCTCCCTCTCCCTCTTTATTTCATGCTTTTAAAAGTCAATTTTGTGTATAGGTGTGTGTGTGTGTGTGTGTGTGTGTGTGTGTGTGTGTATATAAAATTAGTATAGGAATTCATTTATGTGCTGTGTGAATATACATATTTACAGATGCATGTTAAAAATCTGTATTCATGGGGCCGGGGATTTAGCTCAGTAGTTCTGCTGCTGCCAGACTCGCAAGCACAAGGACTCAAGTTTAATCCCTGGTACAAAAAAAAAAAAAAATCTGTATTCATCATATGATCAAAAGAGCTTAGAGGTTTACTCTTAAAACTGAGAGAGATGACAGGGTAGAGAGTGGGAGAACCCAGAGGGTTTCAGTAGGTAGCAGGATCCGGTGAGTTTTCTGGGACCATGCAGAAGACACACTGGAAAAGAGCAGCTCTAGGACCAGAGAGATCATTCAGCCCGATGTGACAGCGCATGCCTGTAATCCCAGCTGCTGGGCGGGCTTGAGGATTGCTTGAGACCAACCAGCCTGGGGATCATAGCAAAAGCCATCTCAAAAAACACAACAAAAAAGCAGATTAGTTGGAAAGCTATTAAAAAGATTTTAATTAAGGCAGTGGTAGAATGGGGAGAGAGAGAGATTCAAGAAACGGAGTAGGTAGAATAAAAAGAACATTGGTGGAATATTCCTTTTTTTGTTATTATTCCATTGCATAAATATGCCACATTTTCTTCATTCAGCAGCTGATGGACATTTGGACTATTTCCAGGTTTTTGGCTGTTATGAATAATGCTGTCTAAGCTTTTTTGTGCAAGGTTTTGTGCAGACCTGTTTTCATTTGAGTATATAGCTAAGACTACAATTTCTGGATTATATGACTGTTTAACCTCAGAAATGACTAAGCTATTTCCAAAGTGGCTGTACCATTTTTCTTGTCCATCAGCAGTGTGTGAAGGTTGTAATTTCTCCTCATTCATGGCAACACTTATTATTGTTTGCACGTCCATTTAGGTCT